AACAAAAAGGTGGAGAGGTTGCGATGATGACCGCATGCATTGCAGAGTAGAAGCGCAGGTTTTTGAAGTCCCACTGCAGTAAACATTAATGCCAGGCTCGGGAATGTTCCCACATTTCATTTTGCACCAAGGGTCACCTGAGTTATATAAGACAGTCGAGATGCATTGATCGCGTGGGGTGAGTGCGATGCCGTGCGAGCGGGCTTGCCCTCTGGACTCGGCGGCTCCCTCGGGTGAACGAACTTGTGCTAAATGTAAGTGAACAGGAGTCGCCCACAGGATGTTGAAAGCACGTGGCTCAACAGTTTCGCAGTGGCAGCCTATGGGGGGCGAGTGACATTTGAACTCAGAAATGGCAGACGGCGAGACCATGATCAGCAGAAGAGTTTCTCACAAGCAGCGTGAACCCAGGGGCGTCGTTACGAAATGGTTGATGGTTACGAAATGGGTCGCATTAAGTGCAGATTTGGGAGACACTATGGGTACGTCTACGGGTACGGGTATGGGTAAGGACTTCGAGAAATATCGGTTCGACAATTCCAGTAACGGCGTACAATACTGTAGGTCATGTTTTTTGCCATAATATAACGTCACAATTTTGAATTGACACGCCATATCTGATCATCGATGCAAAAATAGTGAATCTTTTTCGAAGCTTGTGGTTTTCTAACTTTTTATTATTTATAATTAAACATTGAAAATGGTCAATGGGTAAGTAACTAGTGGGCAGGGCCGTTAAGGATTGGACAGCGGGTAGTTACAGCCAAGACCCCGCGGGCGGCGTGTGGACCGGGTAAAGGAAATCTTCCCCATGAGGACATCTAGCCAGTGGAAGCTAGTGACGTCAGAGTTGGACACATCTAGCCAGTGGAAGCTAGTGACGTCAGAGTTGGACACATCTAGCCAGTGGAAGCTAGTGACGTCAGAGTTGGACACATCTAGCCAGTGGAAGCTAGTGACGTCAGAGTTGGACACATCTAGCCAGTGGAAGCTAGTGACGTCAGAGTTGGACACATCTAGCCAGTGGAAGCTAGTGACGTCAGAGTTGGACAATTTCGGACTTGCATTCAAACCGATTCCGATTTGCCAGTGGGCATTGTGTCCGAAAGCTGTTCATTTGTAAGTTGTTCCGTGCATTGGCGAGGAACGTTATTCACATAGATAAGACAGTAGTATTAGCATTATTGCTCGGAAAAAACCAGGAGAATGGAGATATAAGCTGGTTGATATTTCGGCAGCATGCCTTAATCGAAACATCAACCAAACTATATCTCCATCCTCCCGGTTTTCCGGGGAATAAGGCTAATACTACGGTCTTATCAGGCTGTTCATTTGAGTTGAGTTTAAAAAATGGCCAATTCCACGATGATCAATTTTTTTAGATGTCCGTAACAGTGATTAGCGCATTTACGAACGTCTGTGTTGATCAATGAATCAGTTACAATGTCAGCCCTGATGTTTGGACAGAGGACATACACCAACTATTCTGGTAATTTGTTGGTAATGTGCCGCACTGCGCTACCTGATGTCTCCAGGTCTTGATGCAAGCTATCAGTTCTTTGCTCGAGAATATATATTTTGCAAATTACAGAACCACTTGGTTCCCGTACAAAATACCAGCACTCCCACTGATTTATTCATGACAAAAACGCGTGCCTCGAACACACCATACACATTTCGTAACCTGGTCGCCCTAAAATGTTCGCAAAATTTGCCTTCCCCGGAAGGAAAACTGAATCGATGCGCATCAGGTTTCAGTTTATCAAATTTTGTTCTCGATGCCTTAAGCTTATTGCTTTTTTCTCCAGCACTCAAATTGTATCAAATTTTTGTCATCAAATAGACTGAGTAATCGTGGCTGAACCGACGTTATTAACAGACGCTACCGCACGGGTCGTAAAAATCAGCTAAGTTCTCTGGAAAACTGAAACTAATGGTAAGATGTATTTGACGCTGAAACTACGAATCTGACATCGCTTTAGCTAGCTGAAATGACGACAGCTGCCAAAAATGATATGAAAGGATGTCTTGGCACTGCCTGTGAAATGCAGGTAAGCTCAAAGGGGATGTTTCACATTTGAAGATATTGAAGTAAGCATCAGATGTGATGAAACAAGCTCACTTATACCTGTTGGTATAATTTAAAGTGGAAAAGACTGCCCTACACGCCACAACTTCTCTGCTTTGTAAATATGCCCCTAGATACACCATTGTTTGATCACGTCATCGCACCTTGCACAACAATGATTGGGAGCCAATTGACAGCCGCTATATCTGGAAATCGTGCTCACGAACGCCAGATATGAAAAACTCGACCAGCATATTTTTCTCCGTCTTGATCGCCGCATGTCTTGTGAAATGACATGATTTGAATGGCGTTATTATGACGCCATGAATGCCAAGATGGCTTTCAAATACTCTCCCCGAAATACGCCCCGTTTCGCGGGCATGTAGATCAGAGACTAGAAGGGTTTAGGTCTTAAGAACGGCAAGGCTGTGAACTGCACTGGAAGGTCTTCAAAACAGTTCTTGCAGTTTAAAACACCATTTAAATGTGGAACACTTCCTTCAACAAAATAAGCAAGTGCCGTAAGAGATCAGAACGCAGAGTGCGCGTTCCAGTGGTCCAGTCCCATTTCGATGACGAACAGAAAGTTTTTAACTGCTGTTTACGACCGAAATATGTATTGGCAGTTATCTTCACGTCTAAATAAATTCACTAACGTTTTACGATAGAACGCTGGGCGATTGGGGCGAACATGCTCTCCTGTGTCACCTTCGACATGTGCACTTCTACCGATAAAACAAGCGCTACATCGACCTTCCGCATTGAAGCACTGGGACTGCTTTTCTGAGTAGCAGATTTTGCACACGAGAGTTTGCTCGCTTATGTTTGCTGTAGCCCTGGTATGTGGTCATTGTGAACTTTGCCATACGCTGCAAGCTGTTTCGTTATGCAGTATGTGCATTATTGCACCGCTGTTTCATCCTTCTGCTCACCGCGCGAACGACCTAGATCTAAGTGAGACGTTGCGATAAATAGCAAAACCAACAAGTCTACTACCTTTTTTCGGTAAAGCAGCTCCACACGCACGCAGCGCACACCTCCATAACGCAACATCTGAGATGTTGAGGATGTTTACAAACGCTCTGTAGTGTCTGATCCTTTAGTTGACAGTCATGCTCAATAACGGGTTTGAGGACATCTTTAAGACGCCTGACATGGCGTAGGACGAGTGTGATAATGGCAAAGATAAGCATTGCCGTTGCATATTTGAAGGACGTCAAAACCCTAATCGGATTGAAAAGGTCCTCCTTGGAGTCCTAAGAAGAAGACAGCAAAGTAAGCAGTGATCGCAAGCGCGCATGTTAATCCCGTGGACACACCTACAGGCACCCAAAGTCAAGTAGGCTTCGCGCACGTTTCCAGCGGGGCACCGTATAGCATTCACAGCCGCAGCTTTGGTTGACGCAATCTCTCCACCGTCAGCGTCAGTTGGGGATGAGCTTGCCACGCAGCCTTTGCCGCGCGCCCTGATATGGGTCGGGCTAGATATCGAGTTTGGTGTGCAGCAGCTACTGCCAGCGGTGTCAGTTGTGGTAGATTACTAGGGGAGGGGGCGAATGAAGGCCCGACAACCTACATCCCATTTTTTCGGGTTTAACCCACTTTATTTTGATGGAGCGCAATAAATTAGGCCCATATAACGCCCATATAAATTACGCTTTGTGTAATTTATAAAAGTCCTTAATCTAAGCAGTATAGAAGTCATGCAGGGCTGGATCCAGGGAGCAGGCACTGGACGCACGCGTCTCTTCTGATCGGCACGTGACGGCGCCCTTTAAGATGCCATCTTAGGGCGCCAATGACGCTCTTCTATGGGGGTCATGGCAGGGGGCGCACATTTTGGTCGTGGGGGATGGGGACGGGGTTAGCCATGAGGGACTCAGGTCATCCTCGTATTCCAGAGCTTTTCACTTTAACCTCACAAAGCATTGCGTGTCTTATGGCGCTAGGTGTGTTAATTTATTAAATTTATTTTTGTCTTTATCTTTTTTATTTTTGTATTCATTATTGAATTTATTGCATCGTTTATCCGCTCAGCTGGTGCGATTTGTATCTTGTGGTGAGAACAACCATGACTTTTTGTTACGAGAGTAGTACGAGACGCCACTTCGCAGAAAGATCAACGAGGATAGTTCTTGCGTTATGATCATTTTGCACCCACATTTTTGTAGTACTCCAGCTAAAAACATTGGGGGGGGGGGCGGAGCGAACCAACATTGGGGGGAGGGAGGGGGGCAACTCAACATGGGGGGACAGGGCTCTCACGATAGAATACAAATCGACACCCGTGGCCGCTGCTGCAATCAGTGGGTTGGTTGCACATTGGCCTTGCCAGGTCGCCCGATCACAATAACTGTGGACACAAAAAACTTTAAAACGCGCTCGAAAATAAGTCCGGGGGGAAGACAGCGTGCACTGCATACCAGGTCGACCTAGGGAGCTGCTGCTTGCTTGAAACATGAGGTAAAAACTGAAATCGCGCTTTCCAGAACATAGGACGGCCCTAACGACGCAGACATGCACGTGTCCTGAAATGCATAAGCAGAACGTGTCCGACGGCTGATGTAAGGTTGTGCAAGACCACCATAATTCATTGGCCTCGATTCGCCCCGAAAAGGTTACTGAATTATCAAAAGTAGCCTGTCTATCTGTAGACTATCATATTGTCAGCCTAACAACCGGAGAACTAAAATGTAAAAAATTTATCGATGCCGCAAGGAGAGCTTATGTCGCATTGACCATCGCAAGCCGCACTTTTCCTTGAAGAAATACCTGGCCACTTTTGCTTGAGCGGACACTTCTCCGCATTTCCTTAAAGGGACACTTGACCTCTTTCTTGAAGAGACACTTGTCCACTTGTCCTGCACGCAAGCAAAACAACGACAGACACGATGAGATGCGCACAGCTCCTGACAGCAGCTTCGCCTCTTACCGCGATGACCGTAAAGCGCGGTCCCTCCAGGACCCAGTAGAAGGGCGTGAAGCTGTAGCCCCACCAGCACTGCGTCTGGTGGTAGATGGCAGTGACCAGCGCCCACAGCGCCGTCATCAGCATGGGGAGACCTGCAGGACGACCGGGCGACAACGGTCAGAGGCCGTGCGGGTGGCGTCCGGCTCGGCGGCGGTGCGTCCCCGTCAACTGGTGCCATGGATGAGAAGAGGTGCATGCAGGTGTTGGTTATTGTGACTGCGGGTATGAGGACCCGCCCGTCCTAAGCCCTGGATGAGACTGCCAGCCTCGCTCGTGATACCAACACTGCGATTACAAACTGATAGCTGGGGCTAGCAAACAAAAGACAAATGTTGTGCATCGGGTGAAAGCAAGGGACGGCAACGTGGGTGGGTGGACACAAGCGCACACGGCTCTGGCAGGCTAAGAGAAAACTGCAATTTGCATCGACATCAGCCGTGAAAACACGGGCAAGCAAATCAGAAAATCACAGTGGCACTGTTGTATGTGACTCTAGGGTTCGTGACATAGGCTCCCATTCTTCCACTTTGGTGATGACAATGAAAAACATGAGGACGACTGGTCAATGTATATGTTTGTATATTCCTCCCTACCACAGTGCCGAGAAAGGCTCAGGTAATCCAGCTAACTTGGTTGCGTTCCAAGCAGTTCTAAAGAAACATTCAAGGTACATGTCTCATCGGAAGAGCTCTCCCAATGCACGGTTCCTAGAACGAGCGAGTTTCTGATCTTTTTGTACCGAAGGCGCGTCTCATGTGGGCTTTCAGCTTCATTTCTTTTACCCGGTCGGTCCGAGCCCAATCAGCTGACGGGCCCGCGAATGGGATCAGCTGGCTGCCGTGGACAATGGCTGTTGACACCACCTTCTGGCGTTGACGTCCATCGGACGCCTCGCTGCTGTCTTGAAACGCGTTGAAGCGATCCAGCCGTCAGTGGGGAATGACAAGCATTTCACGGGCTGAACTAGCGGGGTCGGACGCAAACGGTGTCTTGTAATAATCGTAACCATAATCATAATCACAAACTGTGGGGAAGACCGATGACCAGATTCCCCAGCAGCACAGCGTGCTCTGCCGTGTTTTAGCGTTTGTGCAGATTTGGGGATTCCTTACGGGGAAAGGGCCAGGACAAAGATAGGAGGGGAGGGGCAGGGCAAGGTCCCTCTAAAAAATGCAAAGCTCATCTCACGGAGTATATCAATGAAAATGTAATTCATGCGAGCCAATGGGCTAAAAACAAGCATGTGAAATTGATGAACTACAGGCCAAAAGGAAACTTATGGAAGCAAGTGGCATCTTCAAGATGACGAAATAATACTGTTTTCCGAGTCTAGAATTGGGTTTCAGAGAATCGGTGCATTGTTCGGTTCTCAGCCTATTTCAATAATAAACGCTAACCTCGCCGCCGTGGCATTTCCAGGACACATGTATAACGCAGCCATCAAGCTGCAATACGCGATCCACGTTTTTGTCCGCGCGAGTGCTTTGCTCAAAAGAAAAAGCAGCGCTGATAAAGGCATGGCATGTCGCGTGCCAATTACGGGGAAATTGGGGCCTTTACCTCATGATTGCGTCTCTGGCAATGCTGGCGAAAAGATGGTCTTGCGTCTATGGAATAGTAGCGTCAGCTATTGACGTGCTACCACGCGCTGAAATACAGCTATTTGCTTATCGATGTAGGACGCAAACTAAAAAAAAAACTAAACAAAAAACATAGGTATTGATCTGGGGAGCGCAGCGTATACAAAACGCAATTATTCATTTATCTATCGGTATTGGTAGCAAAGTCAGAGAACCAACAATACATGAAGTGCGCCCGTCGATGTCCTGTAATTTTTACATACAACAAATCACCACTTGCAAGGCTTACAATTTACCTCATAAAAACCAACGTTTTCTGGAGAATATGTACATATCGATTACTAGTTTTCGCATGGCTTGGAAATGAACGCGACTGAAAGCATCGTAGATATCGCTCGATGTTCCGCCTGTTCCGATGCATGACTTCCTTCGGCTTTCTGAGAGCACAGCACTATCTGCGTGTTGCATCAGTAACTTCTAGGACATGGCTGAGTCAAGTAACGTATGATTTTCAAACTAATAATCGGCAAACCCATCCATACTTCTCCGATAGCCTTTCCGAAAAAGCGCATACACTGAAACGTTCGAATCGAGGTGGTCGAATGCCAAGATATGTCTACGTGCTGCAGGTTCGGTTCTAACTTGACCTTTGGCAGCCTGTACCTCGGTGAAAGTGGCTGGAGTGGCGACCGTACGGCGATAGGCTGACCCAAAAAAGGGAACGGGCGCAAGCTGCGGTCTACAGCTACGCGATGCATGTGCTGTAAGATCATTCCTACTACACGTATGAAAGCTGACAACTGCGGCGTGGCGCAGGAGTTTCGATTGTTGATGAATCTCAAATTTATGTGCATGTTACGGACCGTTAATGTTGAGAAAACATCGAGATGCATACTGAATTATGCTGACAGTGACAAAAATATTCCTACAAACATAAATATCATGACACGTGCAAGCCGTAGCAAACCCAGATTGCTGAAAGCCAACGAAACGGGCCCGCTCGCGGTGTCACGGTCCATTAAATCTTCCGTGTAGAATGGGCTTTACAGCTTGCAGAGAACCGCGCGTGTATCGTGTAAATCCTGCGGTCTAGAGCGAGCTGTACGACGTGGCAGTGCAGGGCTATCAACTAACTAAGGTGGGGGTTGGTCAGGGTCCCACCTCCCTCCCGCGGCACCATCAAAGGCACCGCGACAGCCCGCCGTCGATCGCGCGGCGGTAGGCCGACCGGAAAGGAGAAACGAACGCACCTATTTATAGCTATGCACCCCAGTTCGTCTCGGTTCGAAGTCGGGGCCCGGTTCTGGGTCCCAATCATAGCGTCTTGAGTCCGAATCCATCATTTCCGCCTTACTTGACTCTGAGTCCGAGCCCATCAGCTCAGTCGAGCACGGGTCCGAATCCGTTGTGGACTGTGCAGCAGGCAATCTGAGTATTACTTTCGCACCGATCTGTTGCGGGAAGTGTTTGACTCAGATGCTGTTTCAACGGTCACTTGAAAGACATCTGGTCACAATGCGCGCTCGGGTGGGGTCAATTCGACCCCGAAGGTTTTTCCGGAATAGTTTCCAAACGGAGCGGCGCAGCCGCGCTAATTTCTTTCTTTCATGGCTGTAGAAATCTGAATAGCGGATCGTTTGGAACCATCAGCTAAGATGTACCTTGTAAGATCGCTGTCCTATGGCGGATCAAAGCAAGGCCATGGATTCAGCGAAGGCAATTTCCAGGGAATCGTTCAATCTGATACAACAACGGAGCGTTAGACGAAGCCATACATCTCTTAGATGGCTTCGTAAGCAACATAACAGCTGAAGGAACAAATTTTATTGCTCCAGGGTCAGGTGTGACGATCAGACCAAGGTCAAAACCAACCGTTGCATTAGTCTAGAACTTGATTGATGCGGTAGTTTCTGGTGCTCATTTCGAATTTATTGATAACAGGAACCGCATCATATATCTTCCATTGACTTTTTAGAGGCTAGAATAGGTCACTGACCCAAAATGGCCGAGGTCAACATATTATTTTCGGGGAAAAAATGCTTAGAGTAATCTTGACGCTTATTCAGATGCAAAACTCAAGGCAGACTTGTATGATTTCGATGACCATGACCTTCGAAAGATCAAACAGGGTCACTGGCCTTCAATGAGCAGCAGCTATCTTTTGCTTAGAACAGATGTCTACGTTCTGGGGGCACTTTGGACACCAGCCTAGAGTTTGGCCTTGTTTGACCCTATTTGACCCGAATGTCAAGACCTAGAAATCTCAATCTTCATCAAAAGTCAATTCATGTAAAGACTAATACACCCTGTGAATTTGGCGTCTCTAGCTTTTTTAGTTTATGAGATCTCAGGGAGTCAAATTGACCCCCAACCGGGCGAAATGTATTCAGCCGGCCGCCCGAACGCGTGATAACCTCAGTCTAAAGAGACCATGACGCAAACAAGAGCGGCCCTGACTCCGTTATTGCATCAGCATTGGAAATGTTGTCAATGCTCGATGTTTCGAAATGTGTTTATCCTGAGTCACTCGATCCTGAGTGACCCGGAAGTCGATCAATATCTGCCTGATAGTGTTTGTAAGTCTATATCTCCTCGAGTATCCAAGGTCGATAACCATCAGCAAATACACCTTGCATCATAATCGAGAGAACCCTAGCCTTTCCATCTAATATAAAAGCGTACGGTCGTAACGTGCGTCATGGCAACAAATCTAAAGGAGCCTGGTTTGAACAGTGGAAGAGCGCTGTAGAGTTACCAAGTATGAATTCACGAATCTTACCCCAGCCGAGCAGGTAGTAGAGCGTGTAGCTGATAGGCCCTTGGAAAAATGGAACTGACACCAGGTTGTTCAGATACAGGCCCTCGATGAACATCCACATGAACATGCTGGTTCTTCCGTACTCGATCATCGTGTAGAAGGTCTCGCAGAGAACCGGCTGAAAAAGAGGGAACAACGCGTCAGTTCTTAGCACGTTCGTCGAATATAACTAAATTTATCAGCTGGTGAGCACAACGTAGTCTCGATGCTGACGCGCCCTTAAAAACCAAACCGCCACAGCAAATTAACCAGCTGAAAGCTGAGACGCAGATGGAACCAGGACGGTAACCGTGATAAACACACAGTTGGAACACAGTTCGTCGACACAGAAATTCTTGTTGCTTGTTCGTAGGGGCTTGAGGCGCACCTGTGATTTTCGGTCGGCCGTTGTTTTGGAGTGGACCATAAACTTAAGTTGAGCGCTGTCCAAAGTCTCAATTTCCAACATGCAGGATTCAGGATGGACAAATGTTTTTCAAGATGTGTTATTATGTTGCATACGAAAACACATGCAGTACAGATTTTCAGGCGTCCAACAGGAAAGGCGTACAGAATTAAGTGCTTTGATGTAGCCTGCCAATGACTCCTTCAGATTACAAGCAAGCAATCATTCTAAACCAAAATGTAGGGGTGTGGAGCATTGTATCGTCGTCAGTACAACTGGTAAGTAGTAACTAAAACATCTGGCAGCTTACTGCGAAGCAAGCGAGTTTGAGACAACCCAAATAAGACATAAGTGATGCGTGCGTAATAGACCGGCCTCGATACAAATGTACAGCACGTAAGTAAAAATTCGCAGGTGTCATACACCGTACAGCAACATGCAAACGCCATGAACATAACATCTAACATGCTCTTAGTTTGTTGTTTCCGCGGTGACTTCTGTGCCATCACAACGCCCCTGCCTTATTTGCTCCACACCTCGAGCGTCCCAGCCTAACTCCCCGCAGCTTCCTCTATACAAGCTGCAGCTACGGCAGCGGGCCCGCTCGTGCGACCACCGGACTGGTTCGGACGGTCCGATGGGCGCGCGGGGGGGGGGGGGGGGCGGCGTCCCTGGATCTGTCAGGGTTTCCGGTTACCTTCGGCCTCGGGTTGTACTGCACCAGCGGTGACCAGCATAGACGCATGTCCGAGGTGTTGGTCAGTGCCAAGACAGTGAAGTTAGTGTCGAAAATGGGGGCTGCGACGGGCTAGGTGAGGCGGGGAAATCGCAGGCGGTTCGTGTTGCAACCACATCATTTTCTTGTTGTTACGGAGTCACCACCGAACGTTTATTAGCCCTCCTGAAGTGCTGGTTCCAAGACGGTTTCCCGGGCTCAATAAACGATCAGCAGCCCTAACAGCGCGAACAAGTGTCAACAGGGGCGCTGCAGGCGTAACTGAAAGAGGGCGATATTTGCTGTTGGATCATTAATCACTATGGACTTAAAATTAAAGGGAGTTGTTCGCATCTGCATCGGGTACTGAACTGAAATAGCCATGTTGAATATCATTTGGTGCAGGTTACAGCTCTGCTCTTCTTGAGACGTAAGGCGGCCTGGTCTCTGAGCTACACGCCCGCGAAGATGTGCAAACTATATCGTACAGACTATGTCAAGGCCACCCAGACATCCATGGCGCCAGCATAAGATCATTAAAATCCTGACATTTCATTGGCCATGCGGCGATCAAGGGCAATAAAGATATAATTGTCGAGTCTTTCATATCTGGCGTTCGTGAGCGCGATTTCCAGGCATAACAGCCGTCAATTGGCTCTCAATCAATACCGTGGAAGATGCAAAGACGCCATCATACAAAAACGCCTTGAAAAGCATACTGACTAAACAGAGAAATTATGCTTTTTCGAGCAGATTTTTCCACTAAAATGTATACCAATAGTTAAAAGTGACCTTATTTTATCATATCTTGTGTTTGCTTCAACATCTTCACATGTGGAGGATTTCCCTTAACATAGAACCACGAGAAGCGCTTGAAATGCAAACAACACGACGCACGAGGTATATTTCCATTTCAAAATGAAGTGGTCGATCTCTCAACAGGCTCTGAAGACAGGCTTCTAATTCCGAACCAAAACGGCCATTTCAAGTGATGTAAGTGACAACGGCGCGGCGTCGACTAAAACGTATGTTCCCCAGTGAACTCGAATATCCGTTCCATCACTTTCCCACACTTATGGCCTTTCAGCATTGATATCACGCTTCCTGACATCACGGCACCTCACTCATCATCCGCCACCCGCGAGTTTGTTCCAGAAAGCACCAGTCGCCGGCTACACCGCTCAATCAGCATACAGAGTTACCTCGATCTGATAGGCTGATCAATCAGGGCAGGCGCGCCGACGCCCGCACTGAGGCGTCATACCAACCACCGGTGACGAAATACGTGAGGCCTTGCCATCTCCGGCTTCACTGTCTGCAGGACTTTGCTGACACTGAAGAACATAACTTGCGTCTCTGCGAAAGCTTACAGTCAAAGTTTGTTTGCCGCACAGGAATAAATGTGTCGAAAGGAAATGCCTTGCAAGATTTTCTTTGCATGGAGTTGCATTGCTGCGCATCATGTTGTGTTGTCGCACCTTCAACCCGGCATCTATCGGGAAAGGGGGGGGGGGGGGTCAGAAATTTGCTCCTGTCCACTATTCGCGGTGATCAAAAAAAGAAAATCGAGGTATTACTGTGACATTTTCAGTAGCTGTCAATTAATGAGTTCTACGTCTTGTGCCCAACTTGCAAATATAGGACCATACTTCATCAAGCGTGAGTAAAATCAGAGTGACGCCAAGTTTGTCAAATTAAAAAACTTTGGCCGTATAATGCACATATCGACACGGATGTCAAAAGAGAACATAGTTCAATCTGTCAACAGGAAGCGTGAGCCAATTAGTCAATAACTATTATCAAAATTAAGTGAATTGTTCATTGCATTAGCAAGGAATATTATTCACATAGATAAGACAATAGTAACAGCCTTATTCCTCGGAGAAAAACCAGGAGAACCCAAGCTCAACTATATCTCCATTCTCCTGGTTTTTCCCCGAGGAATTGTCTTATCTATGTGAATAATTTGTGTCCCATGGCATTCTGTTGTTTCAATATTGCACATTGAAACATTGGCATGTCAAATATCAAAGATACTGCTAAAGAGGACAATCAATGTTTTTTTTTTAGAACCAAACTATGGAACACGAAATGATATGCCTATGAAGGATGCCTCTACCAAGTTTCAAGTACTTCCTAAGTATTCTTTTTTGTGTTTGACAGGCGCTGGAAATTGACCAGATTTCATAATATTCTGTTGGGATAGCACCTGAGCGAAATTGAATTTAAGGGTTGATATTTGTAACATTTCGTGATAAACTAAACATACCAAGGTAAATGCTTTATGTCCAGTGAGATTTCTAGTTTTAGACCCCTTGCCTGTCAGATGATGCCACAAATAAAGCAGGAGCGCTGCCTTTTGAGTAAGATTCAGGTTGGCTGATACATTCCATTGAAATCTTTGTCACGCCTGGCCAATAACAAAAAGCTGGTATCAGAATCCTAGAGATGTTTCAAATCACAGTGCCTTCTAATATGCGTTTGATATTGTCCAGTGTGTTTCTTTGAAAATGCCCAAAAAATTCGCTGGTAAGATAACTGAGGATACCCATTTCGAGAGTGTGCTAACATCTTGCTGACACCTTTGCCATAGCTTAAAGGCTGGTTGATTGCTTCATGAAGCAGCTCCCACTTGATAGATTGAGTTGGTGTCCCAAAAAAGCAAGCCACATCATGCGTGGTTACTGTGAAAATCGATGCAACAGTTTAGTCACCAAAGAGGCCTTCTCTTTGACCTTAACCTCAAGCCCTTTATGAACAAGTAACAGCCCTTGCTTACGTGGCTGATCCCATAATTGTGGCTAGGCCACAATTTGCGTTTGATGCTACTTTGCGTTTAAATGGTTAAAATTTGGCAGGAAAAATATATCGAAATAGCATGTAGACCAATTTTTCAGCTATCATTTGCGCCACACGTGAGCTTCGCTCTAGGCCGGTACGGCGCGCGCAGCGTGGGATGCCTTCCCATGTAGCATGTTTGATCAGGGCGCGATCACTTCACACAATTAGACACGGTTCAAAACGAAATGCGTCGTGAAAGTGGTTAGATATTCCAAAGTAGCATTTTTACAATTTGACCTCGACCTGTGACCTCAATACACACTTAAACGTAAGTGCGCTGTATGGCCTGAGACCGCACGCCACGGCACTGTAAATTGCAATTTGATTTTTGAGTTCGGCCAAGCCGTTCTTGAGATAAGAATGGGGTCATATCTGCCCCCCCCCCCCCTCCGGTCAATGGTGCGCCGCTGAGGAGCCCAGTCCATACCGGATTAACCGTGTTGAATTGGGGAACTACGCACTGAACGCATTAAATTAATCCACACCCCGCCCACGAGGACAACACTTTCATGACATGTCATCATCATCAACATTATCATGGCTATTACACAAGACAGGCATCAAAGAGCGAACGTAAATCAGAAAGGATCAAAGGCAAGAGCTTAAATCCAAGCATCTTGTCTGAAACAAGCAAAAAGAAGTGCTAAACTGCAACTTCCACCACGGTTCACCTCGCTCGGCTATTTAATTCGGCTGGATGGTCAGACACCACACGCCTCATCGGCGATGCCACGTCCATACAGTAAGGTGAGGGAGATTACCAACAACACTAAAGGTCCATAAACCGTCTAGATTTGTGCAGAATTTCTTTGAAGTGGTAAGCCACCACCGAACGATCGCCGTTGCTGAGATATGTGCCATGTAATATAGTTTGTAACTGATATGATAGTAACTTGCGTCGAAAATCGATGTATACCGTTTGAAATATGCTGTCCAACAAATCCTTTCGCTGCTCTATATGCATTTGACACGAGAGGATGAAATGGCCAATGTTTTCGATTTGGTGCCCAGACGGGCACGCCGTCGACGTTGTTTTTTTTACCAAGAAATAAATGGTAGTTCAAACGGGAGACGTACATTCATAGTCTGGCATGCAGCATATTTTCTGTCTTTGATCGTACTGCTCAGTAATGGATGGACCAGGCAGTCCTAGCCGCTCTCAAACCTGTTTTTTGAA